CATTTTGCTGTGAAAACATTCTTAAACTAGTACTGTAAAAAAAAAAAAATCCACCTAAGTAAAACATGATACAATGAAAATGTGCAGCCTTCCACATACTTAACCTTTACATTTCTGTTACAATATCAGTAAAGAAAAGGGTCTTATATTTTGAAAATAAAAGCAGCTCTTCACATAGTCACTGTTCTAGGGGTTTTATACTCTTGAAGACACACATGCTTGCTCCCAGAATGCTGAACAGGAGGAGGGAAGTATTAAAGAGATGAATGGTATCTGAAGAAGGATAAGCTTAAGGCATTTGTCTCATTTAGTGTATGTTGCTTATTGTTATTTCACAGCTGTAAGAACTAAAAATATTATGAATACAAATATTCATAAAAGTATTTTGTATTTATACAATGCTGTTTTTCAATGCACAAGATATTTCACATTTTCTTCAATAATCTTTACTGTAGGCCTCCACATTAAAAAGGCAGCAGAGCCCAGGCAGACAGTGGCTTGCTGCAAAGTGAATCAATGGCAGAGGGAAGGTTTCAACCAAGAAGTCAAACTTCGCAGTTACTATACAACAGCCAGCTTTAATAAGTGTCAAATAGGTCTTAAGCTATAATCCTGTTCAGTCTTATGTGAGAGTAAGTTTCACTGAACTCAGTGGAGCTTATAGGACTGCACTGTTAACGTCAGCATAAAATAATCTTCACACTGTCATGCAATTGTCCACACAAGGGTCAGTTTGGAAGAATTTGCTTCAAATGTGCAGGAGACATCTCATTGTTATGGGCTTTGTACACAACAGAACAAAAACTCCAATACTGCAAGGCAGAGTCCATCAGAAGCTTTTTAGGTTCTTTTCCCTTTCTTCCACAGGCTGCCCAAATACCAAAGGGGGTGGAAGGAAAACATATACGTAAACACTTTACATAATCAATACATTTGGGAATACTTTGGTATTTTGAGAGACAAGAGCCAGAACAGACAAAGGCTGAGAAGAAATCTGATTCCAAAGAAAGTCTGTGTCAGTTTCCTATTTGACATTCCCATTTTGCAAAAGGAGCGATACAGTTTACAGGGTCCAGAAACTACATCCTGAAAGTATTGCCTTTCTCTTGCTGGAAAAACCCTCAAAGAAAAAGAGCATTCTAACAGGGCATGAATTACTCATCTGCTATGTTCAGGGCCTTGACCCTCACATAGAGCAGTGGTTCTGTCTGCCCTTTAACAATGAGACATTAGTACACTGAAAGCATAGCAGCAGAAAAGTGCAAGGCAGCAAATCCTCAAGCTGTGGTAATAGACGGAATAACGGAAACAGTTAAGCCAGCCTGGTGATTTCAGGGTTTGACTATGACTCTGGAAACCAGGGTTTGATTCCTGTCTCAGCCATGAAACCTACTGATGACCTTCGGCTAGTCACACTCTCTGTGTCACAGGGGAAGGCAATGGCAAACCTCCTCTGAACCAAATCTTGCCAAGAAAACCCCATAACAGCTTCGCCTTAGGGCCACTGTAAGTTGGAAACAACTTAAAGGCACACAAGAACACCAACAACAACACCCACACCACTTCTTGGGTTATGCACCCTTTCAACGTTGTATTAAATATGTGAGGAAAGAGCGGTCAAGTCGTCTTTCAGCCAAGAGGACCTTTTTCTTAGCAACTAATTTCCCGACTCAGCAACCAAAGGAAGAAGCTCCTTTTGTAAGTTCAAAGTCAACAACCCTTAACCATGGAAGAACAGCATGGATTTCCTCTCATCCCAAGGCAGCAGAAGACACAACTTTATCACTTCATCCCTCCAGGTCATTTCAGACGTTGTTTCCCTGCTAGCTTGACACCAGGTCAGGCAGGAATCCATTTACAGGGGCTGAATCCATTGGATGGGGTGCCTACCCAAAATTTTGTCTGTTACACCATCATACCCCCACCCCATCAGTTAAATTCCATTGGTCCCCAAATCAGCCCTCCCTTGTCATTCCCCTCCCCCTAATCTGATTCAACAGTGACAACAAATGGGTTTGGAGAAGCACAGTCAAACAAAACAAAAATCCATAAAGAAAAAGAATAAATTAAAGGGTTTGGAAACCATAAAGCTCTATGAGGAGTGATTTAGGGAGCTGGATATGTTTAGCCTGGAGAAGAGGTGGTTAAGAGGTGATATGATAGCCCTGTTTAAGTATTTGCAGGGGTGTCATATTGAAGATGGAGCAAGTTTGTTTTCTGCTGCTCCAGAGAATAGCACCAGGAGCAATGGATGCAAACTTCAGGAAAAGAGATTCCACCTCAACATTAGGAGGAATTTCCTGACAGTAAGAGCAGTTCAACAGTGGAAGACACTCCCTTGGAGGTTGCTGGAGTCTCCTTCTTTGGAGGTCTTTAAACAGAGGCTGGATGGCCATCTGTCGGGGATGCTTTGATTGAGAGTTACTGCATGGCAGAATGGGGTTGGACTGGATGGCCTTTGTGGTCTCTTCTAGCTCTACGATTCTGTTGTTGTTATTATCATTTCTTAACTGCCTCCCCCCATGGATCAAGAGTTTGGAGAACTGTAACAATAACCCTAACAGAACATAAATCATAAATCCATAGGCATGGATTGAGACAGGGAACAAAAGCAATTAACACAACCTCAATTAAAAACATATCAGTCAAAACACAGATCAATTTAAAAGGGCAAACAAGATGTACACGTATTAAAACAATCTATGTGTAATATTCACAGAGACATCCAAAGAACCAAAATGAAGGCCAAATCCAAGCATAACCCCCTCCCCCATTTCACTCCCCCCTCGGGGTTTGCTTACCAGTCCCTTGGGGCCTCAGAATCCAAACATCCCAGAGAGTAAGACTGAAAAGTGATACCTTTATCCAGCCAACCAAAATAAAGGTATCCCTGTTTTGGTGGATTTGGGGCATTACTGTACTTTGCTATAGGGCCAACACAGCTACCCTGGATAGTTTCTCAAGATTTAAAAGGTTTGCTCTGCTAGTGGTTTGCTTTTTTTGTAAAATAAAGGGAGAAGGAAAGAAGGTGGAGCCCCAAACTTTCCATCCAACTTCTGAAAACAGTTGAGGAAAAGTTGTTTTAAGTGATGATTAAGGGCGAAGTGGAATATGGACCTTCCAGTAGGAGGAAGAACGGGAAGCCTTACCAATAATAATAATAATAATAATAATAATAATAATAATAATAATAATAATAATAATAATAATAATAATAATAATAATATAATTTGGACCTTCTAGTAGGAGGAAGGGGGTAAGCCTTGTCAATAATAATAATAATAATAATAATTGTAATAATAGTAATAAAAATTTGGACCTCTCAGGAAGGAAAAGGAAGCCTTGTCAATAATAATAATAAAACATAATAAAATTTTGGACCTCCCAGGGGAGGAAGAAGGGGAAGCCTTATCAATATTAACAATAACAACAATAAAAAATGTGGACTTCCCAGGAGAGGAAGAAGAGGAAGCCTTGTCAATTAATAATAATAATAATAATAATTTGGACCTCCCAAGGGAGAAAAACGGAGAAGCCTTGTCAATAATAGTAACAATATCAATGACGACAATAATAAAAAATAAAATAAAAATTTGGACCTTTCAGAGGAGGAAGAAGGGGAAGCCTTGTCAATAACTGCCAATAATAACAATAGAAATTTGGACCTCCTCCAGCTCCAGATTCCTTTCCCTTTTTGCCTCACGCCAGGAAGTGGAGCCAACTCCACCCCTCAAGTTTTATTTATTTATTTTCTTCAAAGATTTGTAAACCGCCTTTCTCCCGCAAACGGGACTTAAGAAGTAACCCTCTCCTGAGGAAAAGAAGAACGAGCCAAAAGGGACCAAGAAGGGGAGGAAAAGTGTCCCCAAAGTGCCCCCATTTTGCAGCCAACTTTAATTTAGACCCCATCGTCCCCAGGGGTGCATCCACACTGGAGAAATAACCCGGTTTGGCACCGCTTTAACTCTTCCTGGCTCAAGGCTATGGAATTCTGGGAATTAGAGTTTGTTGTGGGGCCTCACAACAAACTCAAGTTCCCAGAATTCCATAGCCTTGAGCCAGGAAGAGTTAAAGCGGTGCCAAACCGGGTTATTTCTCCAGTGTGGACGCAACCCAAACACCAAAACTACCGACCCGTCGCGTTTGAAGCTTCTCCTCGCCTCCCAAAAAGCCGCTCCTCCAGGCCTGGGTTCTTTTTTGTCTCTTCTTCTGAGGCGACGGAGCTCTTAAAACATTCCTAACACACCCATATTTAAATATATATGTATGTATGTATGTATCCGCGTCTAACGGTCTGCCCGTAAATAAAAGAGTACGTACGCAGTTGTCCGAGAGATAGAAAAAAGGGGAGTTAAAACTTCTTTTCCTCTCAGCGCCCGTCCGCCCCCATCGGCCGCCTTTGACTGACTAAAATTTACCTCACGAACTGGCGAAGTAGTGGGACGCCTGACCACGCCCACTCCGGCGCGCGCGCCCCCCCCCGCCACGCCCACTTCGCGCTCGCGCCACCAACCGTCGCTGGGAAAGCAGAGAGAGCGCATGCGCGCCGGGCTGCTGAGGGAGAAAGTCCCGTAATAAGAAACGTTGGAGGTTTGGAAAGGTGGGCGGCTCCCAAAGTCTCCTCGTCCAATGAGCGCTTCTGGACGCGCCTCTTTTTTTTTCCACAGTGAAAGAGAGGTAAGTAGAGCTAAAGCGTCCTTAGAGCCGAGGTGGTGTAGTGGTTTGAGCGTCGGGCTGCGAATCTAAAGGCCAGGGGTTCGATTCCCGGTTCGGTCATACAATATAATTAAAAATAAAAAGCCCACACTTGGGCAAGTCACGTTCTCTCAGCCAAGACAATAGCGAAGAAACGTGTCAAGGAAGGGTTGTGGTCCATAAGACAAGAGAAAAAACGACTTTTGAAGGCGCCTCAGTAATGTTCCGAACTACGATTCCCGGCATGCCCTGAGAGAAAGAGAAAGGTAAAGTTAGAAATGGAGGAAAAAAAGAAAAGCAATGTAGAACTGGGGAAAGAAAGGTAAGGTAGTTCAGAACTGAGCATGCTCCGAACGGGAAAGGTAAATGAAACTACGGTGCTGAGAACTGAGCATGCGCGAACTACGATTCCCGGTATCCCCTGCGGGGATGAGAAAAAATAGTTAGAATTGAGCACGACGAAACTACGATTCCCGGCATGCCCTGCGGGGTGAGAAAAATAAGAATTAAGCACGGCCGAACTTCCCGGCATGCCCTGCGAGGGCGAGAAAAGTAAGCTTAGGACTAAGCATGCGCGAACTACGATTCCCGGCATGGCCTGCTGTGGAAAGTAGAACTGAGCATGCGCGAACTGCGATTCGACGAGGTGAGAGAGAAAGTGTATGGTGGTGAATGAAGATAATATCTATATCTATATATATCTACGCACAAATACATGGACAATAATATCCTTCCGCTTTGGGAAAATAATTCCGGGGGGAGCCATTCATTGAATAAATAAAGAGCTCCAAAAGGGGTTATTGTTTTCCAGGCCTCAATATTTTGGGAGTTAAAAAGGGAGATATCCGGTTTTGGGGAAGATGGAGACGAAAGAAAGAGAGAGAGGCGGAAGGATACATGTGGGAATTAAAAATGGGTGTAATGCGTCCATATTGTGAGGGAACTGAGGTTGAAGTGGGCCTGAATTCCCCCCAATTTCCCTGCCCTTTTTCTTCTCCTTCTCCAGGTCACTTCTTTACCTGAATGAGAAATTCCTTGACAAGAGGTTGTGAGGTAATTTTATTGTCATGTTGTTGTTATTGTTGTTTTTTTAAAAAAATCTGTGATCCGCCTCGAGTCCTTTTCTGGGAGAAAGGCGGCGCATACAAATGAAATAAATAAATATGAATAGAGAGTAAGACATCAACAATGGGATTTAGGTCTGGAAACAACAGCTCTGGTAGGAAATACTAAGGAATGAACTTTAATTCCAAAAAACCCCCCAAGTTCTTTATTCTTTTCTGCTGGTTATGTTAAAACTATGAGGTGAAATGTCACAACATTATAGGTTATAGGCTATAGAATAAATTGTATAGTTATATTTGTGAGTTTTGAACTGTATTAGAAATATGCAAGAGGAGAAGAAGAAGGAAGGAGGGAAAAAAAAGGAAGAAAAGGAAATCAGGAGGAAAATATACATTAATAACAGCCTGAATTCGGTGATACGTGAAGGAAGTTAATTTATGTTGTCTTGTTATAATTGTATGTTTTTGA